GCGGGTAGGAAGCAGGGAGGGTGGTGGTGGCTTCTAGAAGTCTGTGGCTGTCCCTGGGAAGGGTGTGCAGCCTGTAGCCCAGGGAGAGTGGACATTAGGTGGATGGACCTGGGGAGGGTGTGCAGACTTTAGTCCAGAAGGGTGGATAGTAACTGGATGGACCTGGGAAGGGCATGCAGCCTGTAGCCCAGGAAGGGTGGACAGTAGGTGGATGGACCCGGGGAGGGCGTGCAGCCTGTAGCCCAGAAGGTGGACAAGGTGGATGGACCCGGGGAGGGCGTGCAGCCTATAGCCCAGAAGGTGGACAAGGTGGACCTGGCAGTAGACAAGGGAGCGAGTCTACTTGATGGGTGACAGTTACCCACCATCTTGAGATGTAAACAGCAGTGCAGGGGAGTGCTGGGGTACTCAGCCTGCATCCACCTTCCACCCGGTACACACACCAGCCCTCAACTGCTGGCTTCTGCGAGGACAGTGGCAGGAGGGTGGCACCTGCCTCCAGGCCTCTGCCTTGTGTTCTTCCCAGGTGTCGGTGAACCCTGGCAGGAGCCCAGGGCCTGCTTCGGAATTGCCGAGTGGCAGTCCCTCTCTGTCCTACCTTCCTACAGCCAGGCCTGGCATGCCACAGCAATGGTTCGGGGCTCTGGCCGGAGGCCTGTGGAGGCTGCTGGCGGCACCACATTGACCTCCCTCCCCAGCTGCCAAGCTGATGCCAGCTTCAGCGTCTGGGCTCCCATTACAGCACCTATTACCAGGGACAGTGAGCAGCTGCTGTGTCCTGTGTCCCTCCACCCCCCTCAGCTTGCTCAGTGTCGTTGTCCTCAGGATGCTAGTCCCCCCAGGGCCTCAGGAAAAGGCCTTCTGGGAGGGTCCAGGACATCAGCTGTTTTGGGCCTCAGCACCAAGGCATGTCCACACCCTAGGAGATCTGCAGTGCATGGGCTCCGGCAGGACACCCAGATCTGGACGCTAGAGTCCCTGTGGTGTAGCTGTCCCCACACCCCGAGCTGCCTCTGGGTGACTACAGTGTAAATCACGGGAAACTATGTAATCTTTGCTGAGAAGCAATGACAAAGGGTGGGTGTCCCCAACACGGCTGCTGCCGTGGAACCTGGGGCCTCACACACGCTAGCTTCTACCACTGAGCTCCATCCCTTACTATTTTTTAATGTGTTTGCCCTCTGGTGGTGTGGCTCAGTGGCAGAGCACCTGCCTAGAATCCACTAGTAGAAAGGAGGTGGCTGAGGACAGAGTGACTGCCTAGGATCTTACCAATGGGGTATATCTCAGCAGGAGTCTGCCCAGTGTGCAGCAGCTCCGGGTTCCATCCCCAGCAGTGCAGTGAGCCAACCTTAACACTCACTCTCACCATGAACTTGGGGTTGGCTCACGTGGGAAGTGGGGTCAGGGAGGAAGGCAGAAGGGAGGTGACCAGAAGTCAACCTGGGAAGGTGGCAGGAAGTGATCAGTCCAGTGCACCTCCTGCCATGGAGCCCTGCAATCTGCTTGAGCGTGCCTGCGGCCATCTGTCAGCAGCTCTAACGTACGTGGCCTCATTCTGTCCTGTTCCCATGTTCACAGCTGGTTAGCAGCCGTCGGCCGGGGAGGTAAATGTCGGGGAAGGCTGCTGGCAGTGGTACCTGCGGTGCATTGGGGATCCTTGGAAAAGCGTCGGCCCCTCGCCTATCTGCATCAACGTGCATGTGCGCCCCTCCCTGCACAGGCCCTCCCATCTGACATCACTGCCTGATCAAAAAGTCAGGCTAACAATGCAAGCGAGAGACCCACCCCGTGGGCGAGACTGAGTGGGCTGGGACTTCTTGGTGGCACAGCTCAAACTGGGCTCAAGAATCAGCGCAGCTTCTTGGCTCATGGAACCGAACACTCAACAGGCATGTTTGGCTCCAGGCAGAGTTGCCTGCGGATGCAGATGGACTCCACAGGTGGGGCCGGCTAGTCTCCTGTGGTTCATGGGCTTTCTCAGCTGTCTCCTCTTTCATGGTCCCGGGGCGTAAGAACTTGCGTCATGTGCCCAAACCTGAACCAACAGGATAGGACTTCAGGAGGCTGGTTGGTCAGGCCTGGGTCAGGGGTCCAACCTTCAAGTTCAGATTTGCCAGACCCAAAACTCACGGACTGATTGTGGGGTGCTCCAGTTTAGTGCGGGACTCAGCAGTAGGGTGTTTGTATTGTTGAAGACCCTGGATCCATCCCAGCACAGCAAACACACAAAGAAAGCTCGGTGCCCAGGATTCTGTTGTCAATCATTGCAAACCGGCTGTGGTAGAGACCAAGGTCAGGTGGCCTGCCCAGTGTCACACAGAACACGGTTCAGACCTACCCACTGCTGACTCTCCTTGCTACACAGAGCAGCGACCCTCAACCCCGGCTGTTCAAACCCCAACAGCAGTGAGGTCTGAACTATAGATGGGTCTGCATGCTGTGGGATGTTCTGTATGGCAAATGTGTTGCTGATTGGTCAATAAATAAATCACTGATTGGCCAGTGACCAGGCAGGAAGTATAGGAGGGACAAGGAGAAGAATAAAGCTGGGAAGTGGAAGGCTGAGAGACACTGCCAGCCGCCATGATGAGAAACAGCATGTGAAGATGCCGGTAAGCCACGAGCCATGTGGCAAGGTATAGATGAATGGAAATGGATTAATTTAAGCTGTAAGAACAGTTAGCAAGAAGCCTGCCACGGCCATACAGTTTGTAAGCAATGTAAGTCTCTGTGTTTATTTGGCTGGGTCTGAGAGACTGTGGGACTGGCGGGTGACAGAGATTTGTCCTGACTGTGGGCCAGGCAGGAAAACTCTAGCTACATCTGCATTCCACCCCAGAACAGAGAAGGCAGCTGCTGTGGGGTGGGGGTGAGGGGCACCGAAGACCTGCCTCGGCTGCATGCAACCAAGCACCCAGTTGTCACCAAGGAACCCGCACAGCCCAGGAGAGGTGATGCACAGGAATGGTGAGGGTCTAAGGACCTGATGGCGACCTTGAGCTGATCAAGTAACTGGTGTGGTCTTGGCTGGAGAGGCACGAAGAGCTGGAAAGAGCAGAAAGTGGGGATTCCTTCCGTAGCAGGCCCTGGCTTGCTCCCCTTTCTCACCTCCAGCGGTCCTAGCGACACACTGAAATAGCCTCAGTGACTGCTTAGTTGGCGGTGCACGTGGCAGAAGGTGAAAAACATCTTGGCCCTGGGAAAGCCTCGCTCTTCCTTTCCTGGTGCAGCACCTCCGTGTGGCTGCTGGCTGGCATCAGGCATGTGTGCCAATACCCTACAGTCAGGCTGCCCCCAAGGCACCTGGCTGCCACCACTGTGCCCTCTTAGAAGGGGACACGGGCCGCCCTCCTCTGCCCCTGCCTCTCGGGCATCTGTGGCTTTGCTATGCAGAGGGATCCCATGCCTGCCCAGCACCTGTTCATTCTGTGACAGATCCTGTCTTTCAGGAAACCAACTGAGACTGTGAGAGGGGACTTGGCTTTCCATAAGTGGCAGGGGAGTGAACTCCAGGTACTGAGCCTGAGTCCAGAAAATGCAAGAATTACAAATTCTTACCATACAAATATTGTCCATTTCACCATTCAAGCTGACTCAATGCCGCAGACACTGGCTGGTTCCTGTTCCCCGCCCTCCTTGATCGCATATGTAGTACAGATGGAACCCAGGGCCTCAGGTGTGCTAGGCCAGCGCTCCACCCCGGGTCACAACCCTAGTACTCTCTGTTAGGACGACCATTTGGCCTCACCCACTGTTGACCGTGGCCTCAGCCATCGGTGCCGATTCAGAAACCAAGAGCCACCCTGCCACGCCAGCCCGTCACTTCTGGCTGCCCAGGCCCTGCCTTCTCTCACAAGCTACATGACCACGTCACTTGTCAGCAAGCTCTTTATTTACTTCCTGTTCCCCAGCCATGTCCTTGGTGTGTGGTGGGGGCAGCTGGGATACGTGGAAATCGTGTACTTTGAAGGTCTCTGCTGAGACCCCGAGTGCAGCAGCTCCGGAGCCCGATAGTTCCCTTCCCAGCTCTGAGCACAGAAATGTTCTAGGTGCATTTTCCCTCCCATTGTGGACTGACTTCATCCAGTTACCTTCTAGAGGTGTCAGGTTTTCATTTGGACCTAACACTGGACCTGGACCAGCATTACATAAGGCAAGTTGCCCATTGTGTCCTGCTCTGGACAATGCCCATGGGCCACGACTCCCAAAGTGTCCTGAGAATGTCTGGCTGATCACATCCTCACATCTAGCTGGGCCTCCGGCTAGCCTTCACTTTGGGAAGAGATCTGTGTGTTTTCTCTGGAGACCAAAGGCCAGTGGCATGTCTGTGGCTCCCGGGGTCTGTAGCTCTCTTTGGCGTCCTCAGGCCCACATGGGCTTGAGTCACCGTTTTGACCAACATGGGGCTGACTCTTCGCTGTCTCTGAGTCTAGCATTTGAACATTTAAATACACATAAATAAATGCCAACTCTTGGGCAACAGACTCCAAAGCATGATGGACACTCTGGTCACATGGTTGGTGGCAGAGGTCCAGCCCGGCATGATTCCAGCCAATCTCGGTGGACTCCCAACCACCAACAGCAGCATGTGTCAGGCCTGGCTTGGCAGTAGGCTTCGGTAGGCAGTGAGCTAAGTGTATCCCTGTTCTGTGCTGACCTGGGAGCCCTCACTGGTCATCAGCTCTGTAGGAAGCTGTGGTTAAAACAAAGGCCCTGGTCACAAGCTACCAGGACTCTGATAGACTTTGGGTGACAGCAATAATGACAGATTCCCCGGGCCCCGACCTTCGTACCACCCTGATGGTGTTTGGCAAGCCCCTAATGAAGCCGACCAGGTGTGCGGGCTGCAGGCCAGCTCCTGCTCTGGGACAGTGAAGGGTCCTCCGAACCCCAACATCAGAGGTCAAGCTGTCGGGCCCGATGGTTTGTGGTCTGTGCTGTTTTGATGTTTCCTCTTGAGACAGCTACAGAGTTTGAGATGATTACATTCAGACAAGTGGCCATTTGGTTACTCTATTCCGGAACACGGAGAAGGAGACACCAGGTAGCAAAGTCACAGACTTGAGGGACACGGAGTCTCTGGTCACAGCCAAAGGGACACACTAGTAGGCCAGAAGTCCCAGCAAATAACTGGAAGGGGAAAGAAACCTAGGAAGTTCCCAGTAACCAAAGGAAAGAGGGCTCCCACCGCGGCAGGAAGCCACTAAAGCGTCCAGTGTGGATCAGGGCAGGGACTGAGCTGTCCCCACAGCCCACCTGGGTCCCACTCAGCCTGGCTCCAGCCCAGGCAACGTCCTCACTCATCGTCCTGGAGCAAAGATGAAGTCCAGGGCCTGCCGCTCGGCAGCTGCCACGTTGGGGTGCCAGAGATCCACCATGAAGACCACCCGTGGGCCGTCCTCAGCGGAACCTGGGGAGGAGGAGCGTAAGGGGGGTCAGGTTGGCCCTGGCACACTCAGTGTGGCCTGAGCTGTAGGACCAGTGGGCACGGGAAGACCTCCCTTTCCCAGATGGAGAATGTTGGTGCGGTCTCTCCCATGCCTGTGAGGAAGGTGGATGAAAAAGGGAGGGAAACCGAGCAGGACGGTAGGGCCGTCACTGTGGACACAGTCTGCATTCTGCTGTCCCAACCCACTGAGTGTCTGACACTGAGAGCGAACCTGAAGGTGACCATAGCCTCTAGGTCATGATAACCGGTTGGAGTTGGCTCGTCACCTGTGATACTAGCTTACCCATGTGGGGAGATTACATGGGAGGGTGAAGCGGGGGGGGGGGGGGGGGGGGGGGGGGGGGGGGGGGGCTTAGGAATTCCTGGTCAGTTTTGTCTGGCACCCGGAAAACTTCTCTTTAAAGAAGTCTGATAACCATAAAGCAAGCAGTGGGCAAGCTCTGGGGGAGGCGGTGCCCACCTTCATGGAATGCAGTGTGCAGGAAGGAGTCATCGAAGAGCAGGCAGCGGCCTTCCGCCCAGCACTGGGGCTCACCCCCCACCACCAGCTCACAGCCATTGGGAGTCTTCAGACCTTGGGGAGAAACACAGGATTGAGTGAGAGTGAAGGTGGCCAGGGTTCAAGGCTGCTGGAAGGTGGAGCCGGGCTGCTCCGGGGAGCGCTCGAAAGCCTCAGGCCTTCCACACCCTCCCCTGGAGTCCACACTGTGGGCTGTCTGTGACCCATGATTCAGAGACCGAGACCACCCTGAGAGGATGGTGTTAGGGGTCTTTGGGGACCAGGTCACGAATGGGATCTGTACTGTAAAACGGGCCTTTCTACCACATGAGGTCACGGCAAGAGGGGGCCACGCCCACTGCCCTGGCGAGTCTTACGTCCACTTGGCACACAAACTAGAGTCAACTGAAAGGAGGGCGGCGCCTCAGCTGAGAAGACACCTCCATAAGATCTGACTGTAAGACATTTTCTTAATTAGTGATTGATGGGGGGAGGGCCCAGCCCATGGTGGGTGGTGCCATCCCCCGGGCCGGTGGCTCTGGGTTCTGTAAGAAAGCAGGCTGAGCAAGCCATGGGGAGCAAGCCAGTGAGCAGCACCCCTCCATGGCCTCTGCATCAGCTCTTGCCTCCGGGTTCCTGCCCTGCTTGAGTTCCTGTCCTGACTTCCTCCAGTGATGGACTATGATCTGGAAGTGTAAGCCAAATTAACCCTTTCCTCCCCAGTTTGTTTTTGGTTTTGGGGTTTCATCACGGCAAACAGGAACTCTGACCAAGACACCCACCTGGCAACCAGAGCGGCCTTGGCCTCTCACAGAGCTCCACCTTGGGCCTCCAGCCTCAGAACCATGAGGAGTACACCTCTGGGCTGTTGGTCTGCCGTTCAGACAGGGTCTCACTGTGTTGCCCAGGCCGGTCTTGAACTCTCAATTCCGAGAACAGGCACCACCACCCGGCTGTTTTTTGTTTTGTTTTTAACTTTGTATGATAATTGTGTGGGGCGTGCTTGACACCACATGTGTGTGGGCATTAGAGGGACAACTTCCAGAAGCGGTTCTGACTTTCCACTGTGGGTTCCAGGGATCAAAGTCAGGTCATCAGGCTTGTAGGGCAAGAGCCTCCACCCACTCCCACTGAGCCATATCCCCAGCCCTTCCCTGTTATCTGAAAGCCATCTAGCAATGTGGAACTTGTCCTCACAGCCCAATAGATGGGTCAGTCTTTCTAGGGACTACCACCGAGGTCCTCAGCAAAGCTCCTCTTTTACCAGTTTCGTCTAGTCTGGATCCTGCACTCTTGCTTACGTCAATAGCTTGAGGGTCTCATGACCTCAAGAACTCCTGATGTCTAGTCCTGGGACCCATGGGAATCCAGGGATGCTGAGTTCAAACCAGCTTCATCCATGCACAGCCAGCCGACAGCAGGGCCTCCTCAGAAGACGTTTTCCTGCTGTACCCAGGGATATCAAGGACCCATTACCTCCTACAAGTCACTAGCTGGCCCGAGAAGGGAATCATCACAGCCACAAGGTGTGCACATTACACATACACATGCGCACACACACACACACACACACACACACACACACACACACACACACACCTACCTGGTACACGCCCCGTATCAGACGTTAACACAGGAATCCAAACCTACGGGTCCTCCTCCCAGCCTGCCTACTCCACACCCCTGGATCCCACATCAATCTCTGAGGCCTTCCCCTACTCTGCATTCCAAAGCTTCGGAACAGCATGGTAGCTGAGGGCGCACTTCAGGGGTTCAGCACTGGCCCAGCATGCCTGAGACTCGGGTTCATCCCAGTACTGTGTAAATCAAAAGCTCCCACAAAGCAAGACCTTTCAAAAGAAAAATCTCATTCCCATGGCCGACAGTTCTGAGCCCCAGCCTGGCCCAGTCTGGCCCCAAGTCAGCCACCGGCTCCCACCTGGTCTGCCCTACCTCAGCCTTCCCGGCTCCCTTTGCAGCCTAGCTCCCTTCGTGGATTCTTGCCAGAGGTTTATTAACCAAAGCCACTGTGTGGATCAAAGCCTACCTGGTAATAGTGATGGACTCTGCCTGCCAGGAACTTCAAATGCACAAGCTACTTACTTTTCCTCAAATAGCCCCAAAGGCAAGAGTTGAGCACCCCTCCTCCCCCGGGGTTCAAAGAGGAAGCTTGGCTTCCAGGGCCTGACAGTGGGGGATGAGTGAGGAACTGAGTCCAGAACTGCTGGCCTCCGGTGCCCCAGGGTCACTGTTCCCTGGGGAAGAGGCCGTGCCTTACAGAGCATTGCGTAGTCATGAGCGCCACTACCGCGCTCCAGAGAGACTGCCAGGCACTATGCCAAACGGCCACTTAGTGAGTTGTGTCCCCAAACTTCTCCACAGCACTGGTGCTGTATGTCCACTTTGCAGAGAGGCCGTGAGGTCTACAGAGCTGGACTCTGTCCAGCCCCACAGCTGCTCATGGATCCAGACCCCAGCTTCAAGCTTCTGCCCTGTTCCACCCACCCGTCAAAACCCCATCCACAGCAACCCTCTGACAATAGTACTTCTGCTTCTCAGCACAGACATCTTCAGTCCAAACCGTACTTTATCCAGAATCCTCACCCAGAGAGCAGAGGGAAGGAACAGAGCTGCTGGGGCGAGAGGCGGTGGGTGGGGGGCCTAGCAACTGGCACAGGCTCCCTGCAAAGCACATTAGCGAACCCCACCACAAGCCTGCGAAGGACATGCATCCCCCGCTTCCCCCATCCCCTTCAGGCAGCCAGCACCGCCTCTTACAGCTGCCACCCAGCTCTGCAGGCTCTGCCCTGGCATGTTCCACCAGCAAGGCCTGTCTGTCACCAGCCTCCTGTCCCCATTCACCAGGAAGAAGGTACCACATAGTTTCGAAGCCTGCCTCCATGCACCTCATTTTGCACCTAGCTCTGGTGACCACTCTGAGACACACCTCATCTGACTGGATCCCCAAGGGAGAGCTGCTCCCTCGCTTTCTATGGAAGCTCAGAGGAGGCAAGCAGCTGGCCCAAGGAAGCACCGCTAACTCATAGTTGGGCTAGATAAAAAGGCAGCTTAGCTTGACACTCAATTTGCACGCCACACACACAGCGCACAAGATTCCTAGGCCTTGAATAAAGTGACCAGAATACTGGGCACCATTTATCCGTGGTGACTCAGAATGTTTAAGCATCTCTCACAGTCTCCCGGGCACCATCGGGGACCTCTGTGTCAGCCACCACAAGAACACAGCAGCCACCAGCCAGCCATACCTGGACACACAAACTTAAATGAAAACTTCTGGTCAGCTGTTCCACTGACCACAGCCCACGCCCTCAGCAGCCACACGTGGCCAGCAGCTCACGTAATGGACAGGAAAGATGGAGGACACGGTTACCACCCTCTCCTCCAAGAGTTCTTCCAGGCAGAGCTTTTCCCGCCAGATACTAGATTTAAGTGGGTGTGTGTGGCCTGGCGGCAGAGAGCATGCCTGAGTGCCTGGGTTCCATCTCCAGCACCGTGGGAGAATGAATGAAAGTTTGAGAGGATAAGATGAAATGAGGTTGACATTCTGCCATCACAGTTGTTTACGGACCACCACCAAGGAAAGGTTTTCTAAGGCCGGGGATATGGCTCAAGTTTTGTAAACCGCTTATGGTACAACATGAGGACCTGAGTTGGAGCTTCAGCATGTGAACCAGCTAGGCACTGTGGCACACTCTTTCTGTTTTTTTGGTTTTTCGAGACAGGGTTTCTCTGTGTAGCTTTGGTGCCTGTCCTGGAACTCACTCTGTAGACCAGGCTGGCCTCGAACTCATTGAGATCCACCTAGCTCTGTCTCCCAAGTGCTGGGATTAAAAGTGTGTGCCACCACTGCCCGGCTCCTATGGCACACTCTTATAGTCACAGGGCTGGTGAGTCAGAGACAGGGAGACAGACACCCCTTCTCCCCCGGGGCTTGAGGCCAGCTAGCCTAACCTAGCCAGTGAGCCCTAGGTCACAGAGAGATCCTGTAAAAACAAGGTAGACAGCTCCTGAGAAATAAGACTCAATGCTGACCCCTGGCCTCAGCACGCACATGCATACAAGTACAGGCTAGCCCTTCAAGCCTCGACCCTTCTGCCTCAGCTCCTGAGTGTTTGGACTGCAGGTGTGTGCCACTGACTGCATCCAGCTGAATGCGTCTGTATTTGACCAAAGCACTCGGGAGGCAAAGGCGCCTTGCTACGTGAGGCTCCCCGTGAATGTGCATGCTGGGGCTCCGCCCCCTCCACGTACCTAGGTGGCACCGGATGCGGATGTTGGTGGGTCCGTAGTGCTCCGTGATCACAGTCCCAGGACTCAGCACCGAGATGCAGGCGTTCCCGAAAACATTGTTTCCGATACAGGTCCGGAGGCTGCCGAGCAAGCGGTACGTCCGTGGGCACTTCCTGCAGTTTCTGGGGACACAAACGCCCTGGTTGACAAAGTCAAAGGTGAACCACTCCCCGCTGGGGGTGCTGTTCACTTTCCACCCCTGCGGGAGGCTGCAGTTAGAGAAGGCCTTGTAGAGTGTCTCGAACTCGCAGAGGATGGCCTGGAAGTTCCGCTCCAACAGCTCCACGTCGTGCTTCTGGGCGTCCCGGGAGAAGTAGGGCGTAGTGGGGAGATCAGGCAGGAAGAAGACTTCGGGCTTCTGGATGGAGGGCTGGCTGCTGAGGTAACGGCCCTGCTCCCGGATGCCCTTGTGGATGCGGCCCATGCCGGACCATGAGTACCGTTTGGCGTACTCCTGCAGGTTGTGGTAAAGCTTCTGGTTGAGGCCATCATGGTGCGTGCAGCGCACGCACTCGGGTGACTGGCAGTACATGGACCCGTTCTGCAGCCCGTTGGCGTCCACTCCCTGCAGGAGGGAGTTGACGGACACATGGGGTCGAGGCTGCTCTCGGCCCACATGGTAACAGTACCACACAAACATGACCAGCAGGCAGGCCACGGTGACCACAGCTGTGCTGTCACAGTCCCGCACGGACTGGATGCCGGTGGCAATACAGTCCCTCAGGCCATCCAGAGACCAGCTCCAGGCCACCAGCCACTCCAGCCACATCTTGAGGGACTCGGTCCGTGGAGTGAAGCTGGCTCAGATGATCAGCCCTCTGGGGGTCGCCGGGGCACCCACAGCACGCAGGTTAGAAGACGGTGGAAGGAGCGGCGGGGGCAGGGGAAGGCATGGCTGCCACTGTCCCTCAGTTCCTGCCAAGGGCGCCATCGATGAACAGTGAGGTCTGCCGATGGGGCCCACCAGTAAAAGTCACTGAAGTTGGGTGCTCGCTGCCTTATATCCCACTGGCAAATGCAGCCAGTCGCTGGGAAAGGATTTTCATGATGTCCAAACCTGAAAACAGCACCATGAAAGTTATGACTAGAAAAGTCCCAAACAGCAACCGTCTCCGGAGAACGGAGATGCATCATCAGAACAGCCGAGGGCTGCTGTCAGAATGGCACATTCTCCCTTCTCTCCTCAAGCACGCTGTGAATCAGGCTAATACGATGCCAGGAAAGGAAGTGGGTGCCCTGGAGCGGCCTCTGTGGCAGACACACCTCTTTGTGCCGCTCAGCTGGGAGCTGACCTCACCCACAGGATTACAAAAGGGAAAGCAGGAGCCTTCCAAGTCCCTGACTCAGTTTCCCCACCTCTGACAGCGGTGATACTGCTTTGGGGAGGTGGAGCCCACATCGCTGTAAACCACAATGCAAGCCCAACTGTGCCTCCCAAGTCTCTAGAAACCCGCAGTGTCCTCCGGTTTCTCTGAAACGCTCTGTCCACCCCACCGCCAGGCCCTCCTGCAAGCCCTCCATCACCTGGAGGAACTCATCTGGGAACATTTCAGTGCTCCACGCCCCCCTCCTGTCCTGGGGGAGAATGACAGCGAAACTGTGTCTCCCGCGGCCTGGACCAGCTAGGCCTGGGAGGTCTGCAGCACAGCGGAGAGAGTTACACACCCAAGCTAGACATGGCATGGACCAGGTGTGGCCACCAGCCGTGTGCAAGGCATTCCCCCTCTCTCAGCCTCAGTGTTTTCATCCATCCGCTGGCTGGGGATAATGTCACGGTAAGCCCTCGATGTGCGATTGACCGGCAAACCAAACGTGGGGGGTGTCCCAAGACTCCCACCCCAAACAGAAGGCAAAGGCCGAAATACCCCAACTTGGGGTGATGTCCACTCCTGGACTCAAGGAAAACCTTGGGTGTTCATTCACCACCTACTGGCACCAGCCCGGTGTCGGCTGAATAAAGAATCACTTGACTATAATGTTTAGGAAGTAAAAAACACACATACTGAATATTCATGGGGACTCATGCTTCTAGGAAAAGAACAGGAATGGAGAGATGAGAAGCCAGTTTCTTCTCAAGATGCAAAGCTGGGGTGTTAAGCTCCTTCACCCGCCCCTCCTCCATGGGTGATACCATCGCTCCGCTGTTTCCACTTTAGGAAAAGGGAAAAGGCCCTAGAAAGGCATCTTCTCTGCACTTGCTCTTCAAGACAGTCCAAGGTTCCCGAAATTCTGTGTGAGACTCTCACCCAGGTGAGGAAACACATTTCTTCCCTAACTGCAACTCTAAAACTGCTTCCAGCAGCCAGGTTTCCTCAGATGCCCTGAGACTGAGTTGGTGGCAGTCCCTGACCCGAGAAACTGAGTTCCCACCAACCTGCTCCTGTCAAAATGCAGATACAAAAAAAACAAAACAAAACAAAAAAAACCCCGGGTAGGTGGCTAAGGGAGCTCTCCAGGGGCCGTGAGCCCTTCCCGGCGTCAAAACAGCCTCATTCTGGACAGAGCAGACAGGAGTCCTCCCCAAGACAGAACTGTAAAAGATTCAGCAAGGAGAGACCCTCACCTCTTCACGGGATCAAATCCAGCACTAAGAGAGTGAACTGGGACCTGTCAGTCACTTAGAGCCCCGAGAGACTGGCTGCCCCTACCACCAGGGAGGGATGTGCAAGCCCAGAGCCGACAAGAAAACAACTCTGGGTCTGGTAGAGTGAGTGGCAGGCAGCAGGAGGTTGGATGGATGCACACTTCTGGCTCCCTTCACACATCCGTTCCCATCAGGGATGGGCGTCATGCAGCCCTGCCCCTCAGATCTCAAAGATCAGCGGGCTCCGGGGAATAAAGGCCAAATTCAAGTCCAATCAAAAGATAACTTCTAACACGAGGAATGCCTGGGGAGACAGTCTCCATTTGACCCAGTTAACCCGGATCAGATGACCAGCCCAGGAGGCTTTCTGATGCCAAAGAGCCCGGGTCACCCTAAGGTGAAGCCAGGAGACCCCGGAAGCCCCCCGCAAGGCACAGCACCGCACGAAACGATAGGGCTGGCTGTGTGATGCTTGCGATCCTCTCTACCAGGGAGCCAGAGAGCTGTCCTGAAACAAGCCCTCCCTCCCCTCCAGGGACCTTCCCTCCTCACAGTCTCCCAGTGTCACAGGCCCTGGAGAGAGTACGACAGGAGAGAGGTCAGAGAGATGCGTTAACGCAGGTGGTGATGCCAGTAGCCAGGGGGTGAGATGGTGAGGCGAAGGCTACCTGGAAAAGTGGGAAGGAGGTCCAGGGCGCGTGACAATTCATGGGACAGGGAGGTGGGTCCAAGTGGGCGACGCTGAGGAGGAATGGGGGACCAGGAGAAGAGGCGGTGGAGGAGGGGAAAGGGAGGAGGAGGAGGAGGAGGAGGAGGAGGAGGAGGAGGAGGGGGAGGAGAAGAGGAGGCGGGGGTGATGCTGCGCGGCGCCATCCAGCCCGAGCGGCACTCAGCACGCAGCCGGTGCTAGGCGACCGCGGGCCCTGGGCCGGCCCCGGGGATGCAGGCGCGGGAGCCCAGAGCATCGTCCTCCGCAGCCCCGCAGTCCCGGGAGACGCCGCTTACCTGCGCGGACGGCTGCGGGGGACCCGGGCGACGCCACTGCCCCAGGGACGCGGCCGCCCCCTGCCGCGCCCGCAGCAGCCGCCCGGCCCGAGACGCGAGCCCCGCCGAGCCGGTGCCGCCCGCGCCGCGCTCCGCGGCCCCGAGGACCACAACTCCCACAATGCCGCGCGCGCCTGTAGGCGGGGAGGGGGCGGCGGGGCGGGGCGGGGCGGGACCCCCGGCGCGTGCACCTGCCGCGCGTGTCCCGGGGTGGGGTGGGGGGCTCCGCGCGCGTCCCGCCCCCCTCCACCTCCATCCCCCCACTCCGCCGCGCGCCAGGTTGCGCGCCTCAGGCTCCGGGTCTTCGTGTTTCCACCGCCCTGGGTCCAGCTGGGTCCTTCCTCCCGCATCCCCTCCGCGCGGTCCTCCCTCCCGCATCTCTTCCCCTCGGCGTCCTTCCCCTTGCCCCTCTTGCCTGTGATGGATCCCACGCGCGCGCGCGCGCGCGCGGACACACACACACACACACACACACTTTTGAGGCCCCGCGGACACGTGGGATGAAATTGCAAATGGAACAGCCTGGAAAGATCCGCGGCTCCGTGCCCCGCCTGGGCGCTGCCGACTGGAGCTGTTGCAGACCTGGCGCCTGCCCACAGGGAGGCCCAGTCTAGCCAGCAGCGGCCGGTCCTGCCCAGCTCACAGGAGGGAAAGGGGCGACTGAGCCGGGCCTGGGGACACCGCGCTGCGAGCGCCCGGGGAAGCGTGGGCTCCGAGGAACAGGGCATGGGCGTTCTGGGAGCGTGGGGTGGGATGCCAGCCCACAGCCCATCTGTGTCTGTCCTCGAACCTACTGCTTCCAATCCCAGCATGCATCTCTGCCATGGCCTAGAATCCTCATTTTTGTTCAGGATCCGTCTCCCGGGCCTGTCCCAGAACCCCCTGGCCCTTCACCTAAGCTCCCACTTCTACTGTTGGTGGCCGAGAACCCTCCCCCCTCACCCAGAACCTCAGTTTCCTGGCTCAGAACCCACTCCTCATGTCCTGGAGTCCCCACCTCTATCACTTAAGCCCTCGTCACAACTCCAGAAGTAGACAAACTTTTTTTTCCTTTTTTTTTTTTTTAAATTTTAATACAATAACCCAGCCTGCGCCCATTGATATACTAGGTTCTTCCATATGGCTGTGACCGAAACATCTGACAGAAACCGCTTGAGGAGGAAAGGCTCCTCTGGGCTGATGGGTCAAAGGCTTTTAGTCCATCGTGGCAGGAAAGGCAACGGAGGAACCGTGGACATGGAAGTGTGAGACACAGGCTCAGGAAACTGGGGTGAAAAACAGCCTATCAGTCTGTCAAAGCCCGCTTCCGCTGCCTGCTTCCTGCAGCCAGACCCACCTCCTGTCTGCTCCAAGGCCTCCCCAAATGGTCGATCCATGAGCACGACTTAGATCGGAACAATTAAGAGCCTGTAAAATGCACCCCGGGCGGGTGCTGAAACAGGGGCGCGGGGCTGCAGAGGGCGCCCCAACAAGCCCCTCCTGCTCCAGCGAGTACCTGGGCTGAGTGGCCAGAGGAAGAACGGGGCTTGTGTCCTGCTTCACATTTAGAAAGTTGCCCAAATTTAGCCTTGTCCAAGGAAGGCACTTATGCATAAAGAACGCTGTTTTTTCATACGGTCGTCCGTATGTGTTCCATTCCCGGATTACACCATCTGCAGTGCATTATGAGTTAATATTGTCTATGAATCTTGTAATTATCTGTGACCAGTGTGATTAGAGGGCTCCGTGTTTGTTAGGGAGTGTTTACTTGTTCGGTGGCCAGATTCCAGGGCACGGTTCTGCTAACCTTCCTGGCCATTTCATTTTTTTAGTTTGCTGGGAGTCTCAGAAAATGAGAATGACCCCAATCTCTGTCAAGCTCCAACGGCCTTAGTAGGCGAGTTCTGCCAGCAAAGGGTGTCCAGGACTTGCTGAGGGGACTCTGGGGGTGAGAACTGTGGACATACTGCCACTGTGCTCACGGAAGGACTGAGAGCAGGACTAAATGTGTCTAAATTGCCTGCCTTCAGCGCGGCTGTCATGGTCTTCCCCTCCCTCCTGTCTGTGGAGGGCTGTCATTGCAGCCCACTCTAGACTACACAGCCCATCATTACACTATACTGTAGGAGCTGGTGGGCCACCCAACTCCCTGCTTCTACAGATGGAGTGTGTGTGTGTGTGTGTGTGTGTGTGTGTGTGTGTGTGTGTGCATGGGGGTGCAGGGTAGGCTTGCATGAGGACACAGCTCAATCAAGGTCACAGTAAAACCGCGGAGAATATGTGAAGGGACCCGCATGGGATTCGGAGTATCTGTTAAAATGACAAATGTTTATAGGTTAAGAACCAACAGCTTAGTTTGGTGTAGGGACCGACCGAAGGGCCCAGGCAGGTTGGGAGTTCTAGGCCAACCTGGGCTCTATAGCTAGGCCCTGTCTCAAAACACCACACCAAAGAAAACAAACAGCCTGTCTCAGTTAGGGTTTCTATTGCTACGACAAAACACCATGACCACAAGCAAGTTGGGGAGGAAAGGGTTTATTTGGCTTACATGTAAGCATTGCTGTTCATCACTGAGGGAAGTCAGGACAGGAACTCCAACAGGGCAGGATCCTGGAGGCAGGAGCGGATACAGAGGCCATGGAGGGGTGCAGCTTACTGGCTTGTTCCCCATGGCTTGCTGAGCCTGCTTTCTTATAGAACCCAGGGCTAGGAGCCCAGGGATGGCACCACCCACCATGGGCTGGGCCCTCCCCCATCAGTCACTAATTAAGTAAATGCCCTCCAGCTGGATCTCATGAAGGCATTTCCTCAACTGAGGCTCCTTCTTCTCTGATGGCTCTAGCTTGTGTCAAGTTGACACACAGAACCAGCCAGTGCACTGTCGATAACTTACTTCACTGTGCAACACTTTCATGATGTAATACAGCAACGTTTTGAGAAGGAAGGGGTGGATTCATGGGTGATCTCGAAGGTTAAGTTTCTAGGTAAATTATACAGCAAAGAAAATACAATTACATTGTGGTATCATTTTACTCTCGTGGGGGGGGGGGTTGCACGAGAATGCCCCCCCATAGGCACATCTGTTTGAATGATGGTCGGTGTGTCGGTCCCCCCCCCCCCCCCCCCCCCCCCCCCCCCCCCCCCCCCCGTGGAACTGTTTAGGATTAGGAGGTGTGGCCTTGTTGGAGGAGGTGTGTCACTGGGAGTGGGCCTAGACCCAGTTAGCGCTCTCTCTCCTCTCCTCTCCTCTTCTCCCTCCCCTCCCCTCCCCTCCCCTCCCCTCCCCTCCTCTACCCTTCCCTCCCCTTCTCTCTCTCCCCGTCAGTCTGTCTGTCTGTCTCTCTCTTCTACTTACAGAAAAGATGTAAGCAGCCAGTTACTGCTCCAGCGCCATGCCTGCCTGCGGCCATGCTCCCAGCCATCACTCACCCTCTGGAACTGTAAGCCCAATAAACTCTTCTGTAAGCTGCCTTGGCTGTGGTGTCTTTACAGAAACAAGGACGCAGCTGAGACGCCTGCTTAATGTGCGTGTGCAGGTCTGTATGTGTGTTCTTGCGGGAGCAGAAGAGGGACACATGAGTGCTCTCTTACATAAGATGCTCTGTGTTCATACATGCACGCAGAAGATATCCCTTGGAGGAGACATTCTGAAATCACAGGATTTTCAAGTTCGTGGAAAGCTAAGAAAGGAAAAAAAAAAGGACTTGGAATGGAGGACAGGGAATACCTACATTTTCCATCGTGTCTAACTTAACGCGTTTTTTTAGACAGGTTTGCTCGGCAACCCAGGCTACAACTCAGGCCGTCAGGCGTGGTGGCGCGCACCTTACCCACTGAGGCACCTCTCTGTCCTACTGACAGAATTTTAAAACTTGTCTGTGATCATCTAAATATACAGAAAACAATTTTGACAAAACTCAGCACCTAAGAACTCAGAGCCAAGTACGAGTAGATGGGGGTGACAGACAGCAGGAGAGAGTGCCTGACGGTGTAGTGAGTGCTGTGTGTGTGTGTGTGCGTGCGTGCATGCGTGTGTGTGTGTGTGTGTGTGTGTGTGTGTGTGTGTGTGTGTGTATGAAGAGAGATCCCAACATATGGTACTTTTCTGACAGTGCCTGAAAGTTAGGAAAGTTTAACACTCTTTGTTCTGGATAAATTTTCAGAGTAGGAGACACACACACACACACACACACACACACACACTATATATATATATATATATATATATATATATATATATAAGAAAAAGAAAATCATGGAGAGGAAAAATGGGGTCACAAGCCAGAGACAAAATCCACTGGTCTAGAAAGATCTCCAAAGCATCCTTTCTGTAATCCCAGAACTCAGAAGGTTGAGGCAGAAGGATTGCCACAGGTTTGAGGCCAGCCTGTAGCACAGAGATGAGTTAGAACAAATCCTGTATTGGTGTGTACTGTAGTATAAAGTGCAAAAATATATACTAATATTTATCAATAGCAAAAACATTGTGTGGGGCCGATCAACACGAATGCAGGTTAGCAGTTGCTGCCCAGGGCTAAGAAGGGCAGAAGTCACATGTTTGGAATGCAAGGGCTGTGGAGACGGCTCAGCGAGTAAGTGTGCTTGCTGTAGAAGCTTGACCCGAGTCCAGAACCCCAGAGTCCACGTAAGAGCCCAGGCATGGCTGTGTGTGAGCTGGTAACCTTAGTGTTGCAGGGGGCAGAGACAAGAGGATCGCTGGGGCTCTCTGGTCACCAGCCCAGCTCCAGCTTCAGTGAGAGACCCTGTCTCAAGGGATTGAGACAGAAAGTGACCGAGCAGGGCACTCCCCTGGCCTTCGTGATTGTGCACACACACATCTGTGTGCATAACACACACACACACACACACACATGCACACTCACTGTTAAAAATTTACCAAAGCCAAGGCTAGAGAGATGGCTCACTGGTTAAAAGCACTGGCTGCTCTGGCAGAGGACCT